GGGGAGCGGAGAGAAAGCCATTTACTCCTGCTCAAAAGTACTCAGAAGGAATCCTGACTTCACCCTTGTGAGTGGCATTGGTCCCCTGTGCCTTAATGTTCTGGGGCTTAGAATCAGGACCATACTACCTACTCACACAATCCCTGTGGACTTTTGAACTAGGAATCAGAGAGAACTTGACACAGGATAACCTTTACTAGAGGCATCACTGGTCCTAGCACCCTGCCTACACCCCTCTAGTATCCCATGAACTACACGAATAACTTTGCTGTACTTGATGCTTGCACTTGGAATTCCACTGAATGATTAAAGGTAGTTATGTAAGGCATAGAACAACCTGTGACGTCAGTGTCCCTTGTCATCTTGTTGGCTTCCTATCTAGAAAGTCTCATCAAAGTCTCCACCCACTGTCCTCATGTCCCTACTAAGCAACTAGACGCTGAATAAAACTCTTCCAGTGTAGCAGCCGCAGACTATGAGGTTTTGCATACCTCCCTTCATGCATCCTCTAATTAACCATGAAATGAGTACCTGATTGTCTCCGTTTTTCAGACCGTTCTCGAAACACCTTAGTCACACGGCAGACCTCTCTCAGCCAGAAAAGAGCAGGAGGGAAGGACCAGGACTGGGAACCAGGATTCTTTCCATGATCCCTATGCATTCCAAACCACCCGTATGACTTCAGGAGAGCCAGGACTACTGAGAAGGGAAGGCCTGGGCTGTGGAGAGAGAAGCACTAGCTCCCAGCTGGGCTCTGGGCAAGCCCTGTGGGAGGGCATGCGGATGTCTGGGCAGGGGTGTGGGGGTGGGCGGAGAAGAAAGAAACCCTACAGATCGTTCCTCTTTGTCCAATTGACAGCAGATTCTTCAAACCCTGTTGCACGTGCCTTGAGGACCTGGTGTGTCTGCATTCCAGTGATGGTTGGGCAGAGTGCAGCCCGGGCCCCATATTTCTTTCTACCTATTGACACCCGCAGACCCTCTCTTCCTGTGTCTCTGCTTTCCTGCTGATGGTGTGTGATCGGTGCTTTATCTACATCTGAGTCGGTCTAAGCACACATGCTGAAGTCAGGCTAGAGGGAAATTATTTTATCCAAATGCCCATTGAACAATTCCCTTGAGACTCCAGCTTCGTGAACCTCTTAAAAAGGGGAAAACATAAAACGCTGTTAGGCGAAATAGTAAGGACGCCCTTGGATGATCAGTTAATTGTTTAACTTCTAAAATCTGTGTGATTTTGTGCCTGTTCAACTACATTAAGGTTAACTTGTTTCCTTCTCTCTATTTTTTAATCACATTGATCCTGAAGAGTTAAACTGTTGAAGAAAATCAACAAACCACCCTCTCCTTGCTCCTTCACACACACAAACATATACACCTACATGCTGCTACAGATAGCCAGACATATGGGAAGATACGTAGGAACATCTCGTGAATATATTAAGATCTTCTCCCATTTTGAATGATTGGAATAAGCAATGTTGTTGAAACAGTAACTTTGGCGAGAGGGTGAGATGTCTGAGCCTTAAATGTGTTATGACATCTCTAAACCTTAAGTAATTTACGCCTATCTAAACACTGAGCTTTAAGTCGTCATCATCTTGCCTTGGAAACGAGAGGCTGGATGTGTTTGGAAATATGCCTTCATTGTGCTGCTACCACAATAAAGATCTCTCCTTCCTCAGATTGTCTCCAACATAAATATTCTGCCTGATAAAAATGACAGGTAACTGGATGGCCAGGCAGCTGTATTGTTACGATCATAGATAAACATATTTCCTCTTTGGCTTTTTCTTGGTAAGGAATTTCTGGACGCACAGAATGTTTTCCTTCGGACTGATTGTGATCTTATTCATGCTAGGTAATCGCATGTGTCTCCCTCATACTTTTGTAAAAACTGGATTTAATGTGTGGAAAAGTTCCAAGGAGGAAAGCAGCCGGTGAGGCGGTGCTTTTCAGGGCGTGATTAGAAGCAGGGATGTTATTAGTGAGAGACATTGGGAGCCTCACACAATAGAAGGCATCACAATCACACCAAGAAACTGGCTTCCACCAAGACTGTGAGAGCTAAGCCTTATCTTGGGATCATGGGGGAGTTGGATTTACAAATAAAAAACGTTGTTCGCAGAACTCAAATAAATGCTTCCAGAAAGACATGAGGCGATCGCAACTAACCAAGCAGTTGTTTTTCTTTGTCTGACTACCTCTTTATTCCCCCAAAGAGGGCCATTGTTCAAGTCTTACACAGAGCTTACAATTGACTTACAACAGAAAAAAAAAAGAAAAAGTTGTTCTCCACAAAATCTACTTATGATGAAGATCAGAAACAGGAAGCTAGAAAAGTGCAGCAGCCACAAGTCCAAAGGCAACGCAACAGAGGCCTCCTGGGGCGGGCGGGCAGCCGGCAGCGAGTCTGGTTGAATTGTGACATGCACCTGGCAGGGCCTCATCTTACAGAGGCACCCTGACGTGGGTACTGACACTTTCTTGCCACTGGAGTGCCATTTTATGAAGAGAAAAAAATGGGTTAATTGGTGGCACCCCAGCTGTGAAACCAATGAGGAGAATGGTGCCTTAGCTGTTGCTAAGACTTCCATCCAGAGACCCCTGATGGATGTCACTTTGGGGGTCTGGCTTAGAGAAGAAGTGGCCCATCGACAATGCACAGACACATGGTAACCATGAGATGGAAGGAGTACCCGGTTCTTCTTTACTCTGCTGATGCTACGTGTTTATAGCTGAAAACACAAAGCCCTGCCCAGAAGGGCGCTTCCACCGCAGTGAATTAAGTGGCCCCCACGGCCATCTATGATACAGCAGAGAGGGGGCAGGGGGAAGGAGTCTTGTTGCTTTTGCCTTTGGGGCCTGGTAAAGACTCACTATGCATTAACCATGGACTCCTAGCAAACACAGATGTAAGGTTTCTTCCATCTTTGAAGGCAACTATTTGTTCCACCTTATAAAGAATCACTTTGTCACCATCGCCATCGATCAGTGATGGAGCACAGCCAGGCTGGTGCAAGACGATGGGGTTCACCCCCGGCACATTTATTTTCCCAGCACCTTGAGAGTGGTTTTAAGATTAATTCTCATGTCAGTGGCCCACCGTATTAATTATTACTTTGAAATGTAGCTTAACATACCAGAACCCGCCATGCTTTATGACTTTGATATGAAGCCCCTGAAATGTTAGAAACTGGGGCAGAGGGTTTTTGCTGGCAATAATGGGCTCTAATTGGCCAGCTTTTTAAAAAATGGATGATCTATACTATCGGCGTCTGTCTCTTTAATTTGCTTTCATCTCCCCTTTCTTCATGCGACGCTGGGATTTTCCCAGCTGCATTTCGAAATGTCAGATACTCAAACTTTTCTGAGAGCTTCACTGTAGACCATGACTGATGGTCTGAGAGGAATTTCGGGGGATTCCAGACTAGATGGCGAAGCAAGGACAAATCAGAGATCGCTCTTTAGCCTTGCTGAGACCTCTGGGGTTGC